ATATGAACTTGGATTGCAATGGAGAAGTTTACAAAGAGCATAGTTCACAAACTGCAAAAGAAGTGTGGTCCTGTTCCCACACTGCTAGTCCAAATGTTGAACCAGAGGGAGTTAACTAATGGCCTTAACTTTCATCTCCCAATAAACCACTTTCCTCTAGTTTATGAATACATGGGTCACAGTGGTTAGGTCTAGAAAAGGTTATCGCCATCTGCCCAGCTGGAAAAGGAAATAAGCCTATAACAATATACGTTTTAAATCTTCATAAAGTAACACTGATCTTAAATTAGTCACTGAAGCAGATGTAAACTGTTTGCATGCCATGTAACCACTTTTTAGTGTTCTCAAGTCACCACATTTCAGTCAAACAAGTGTCCTTTTGCTTCTTCTATGATTTTATCTTTCAGAGAGCTTTTCCTTATGACCTACCTTTCATTAAAGTATATATCATTTCATGTCAGAAAAAAATCTGAATAGTATTACAATAACGTGATTGTTTAAAGGATGCACTGTAAATTACAGCAGAATATAATTCAGTTTCCACACAGAGTCCCCAATGCTGTAATTTTAGCATACACTGGTGGTGGATTATAAATCAAAAGAGGCAGCCTCCTAAACTAAGCATATGCTACCTCTGATTTGTTGCATTAAGTCACACAATATTCTTCAGTTTAACTTGTTGCCTAACAACTAACACACCTGGGTAATAATGTTTCTAGGCAATGGCTATATAATCACAACAAGGATAAAAAGATGGAATTTTCAGTGCAATGTTTTAATGAAAGTGTTCTGAGAGGAAGAGGAAAGTTGGGAATATAAACCATTCAGGCGACAGTATTCCAGGTATTAATGGAACTTAATTTTGAAAAACGAAAATCCTTTGCAGAAAATCAAGAGAGAAAATAAAAGCAATGAGACCATTATTAATAAAAACATTTAATAAATACTCTGTTTCCATTAAAATCTACTTAGAATAAATGTGGAACATAGACTCTATGGCACTGTCAGTCCCATAATGACTCAGCATTGGTACAGACACTGTGACAAGACAGGAGGTGGGAAGCTTAGTGAGACCACAACATCTTCTCATAGATAGGCCTGGCCTCCACTGGGTTTCTTACATTCATGAACATCCAAGGTCATACAAAGTTTAGGGGGCCAGACTCCTTTCCTTATGACAGAACCATCTGGAGGAAACTCAATGGAAACTTAGAGTATATCTATACAAGGCAAGGCAGAGGTGTGCAAAGATGGCACAGCTCATAATGGCAAAGATTTGCTCAAGGTCAGACTGATCACCGTATTTTGAGGTCAGGAAGGATTTTTAGTCCATGGTCAGATTGGTACAGACTGTGGAGGGTTTTGCTTTCTTCTACAGGCCCTCTTTCGGAGATCTCTCAAGGGTATTTTAACAAACTTTGCAGCAGCAGGATGTTAGCTGTTGGGGCCTCTCTGCTTTATCTGTGGCAGATTAAGGTGTTATGTCTTGTGCTGTGCCTGGGTTGACTGTGTAGTTTTACTAGGAGGTTAGACAGCGGATTTGTATAAAATGGTTTAGATAGGGATGATCCTGCCTCTGGCAGGGGGTTGGACTAAGTGAACTCTGGAGGTCCCTTCCAGCCCTACTTCTCTATGATTCTATAAAGGTACTGAAGCTGGCTCTGCACACACTACATGTGCATTAATGTGCTTTCGTTAATGAGCATTAAATCTAGTACCTCTGGGAGCTTTTACATGTGCTCCAGGGTTGACCGAGAGCTGCTCTAATTAAAGCACCACAGCATCTAGTGTATCAGCATCTCTGCACTTCAAACTGGTGGTAGGGGTGCTTGAACTAAAGCTTGTTTGACAAGCTTTACTTAAAGCACACTCCCACCACCATTTTGAAGCACACAGACGCTGATACACAAAACGCAGGAGGCTGCTGGAGTGCAGTAATTACCATACTCCAACAGACTTAATTAATCAAGTGTACTCCAACACACTGTAATTACAGCTCATTGGAGTAGGCTCTGCACTCGTGTACAGGCACCCTATATTGTGAGGTACCAGGAAAATGCACATTAGCCTGTCTTAATGCTAGAGGTGTACTGATACATCCGTCTGATATTGGATCGGTACAGATATAAAGAAAACTGACTCTCTTGGATATCAGCCCAAAGGGGCCAATAATTTGGTTGATAAATGCCTGTGCTGCACGCAACTGCAGTGCAGCACTCAGGCAGCAAGGAGCAAAGCCAGCAACATGGAGAGCTGCCTCCAGCTGGTAAGTCCAGCGTAGTGGAAGGAGAGGGGGGAGGGAAGGGGCATGGGGGGAAGCAGATTGATGGCCCCATGGTGAGGGAGGGGGCAAGCACTGGCCAGGTGGGGCGGGGAGGCGGAG